AGTGTGGAATCCTCTAGAATATTCTAGAGATGTGTGGAATGATAAGCTAGAATTTGTGCTTTATTTTTATATTAATTTATTATAATTCTATGCTTATTATTTGCCTAATTGATAGGCTTTAATTATATTTTGTGTGAAATATGATTTTTACAGGCGAGAACTTTAATTGAAGAATTTGAGGACTTTTAGACCGATTGTGAGCTTTTTCTCTTCTAAGGGGCTGTTCAAAAAAAAAATTAAAAGAAAGTGAGCCAATAATTTTAAAGAAATGGGCTCCTGGCCAAAAACAAGCAAAAGAGGATTACTCCTCTAATTGACGGCACCCACATTTTGAAGAAAAAAGAGCCCAACCGCGCACAAGAAAGAAAAGAAGGCAGCAGGGTTTTAACGGAGCGGATTCTGGCGGCCAGGAGGGAGAGCTGAAGCCGGACAGTCGGGGCTGCTGAGTCGCTCATAGCAGCCTGAAGGAGGAAGGTTGGAGGTTTAGTGTTGCTGTTCAGCATATGATCTCCACCAAACTGGTTGGGACCGAAAGAAGTTTGCTGAATTCCTGATTTCTCTAAGGCAGCACCGATTCTGGTTTCAAGTTTCTATTTAAATTCTCCGTATACACTAGTTTAAGTTCTGAATTTGCTTCTTACAACTTTAAATGCTTACAGCTATTCGGTATTTTTTTTTAGATGATTGGAATAAATTGCTATACTCTTATTGTCTTAGTTTATTTTTCTATGAGTAGCTAAATTTCTTAGTCCAGGAGTATGATAAAGTTGCTATGATTTAGTATAAAATTGTGATTTTAGTTATGTCAATTGGTTGAGTTTTATCCATTGTTCTTATTCGCTTAATTTGTTGTGTTAATTTCTGGCCAATTTTAATATGACTAATCAAGTTGTTTGAGTGGATTAATAGAGTACATGCCATGCCTATTAATTCGAGCTCTTTTGGATAAAAGAATAGATAATTTGGCTGTCTTGTTAGGTTATCTATTTGGTTCTTAAATCGGGTTTCCGTAGTTCTTTTGTGATTAATGGATTTTAACTATTGAATTAATTATTTCCTATTGATTAATAGTTAAAGTACGTGACTTATTCTGGACGCCATACGGAATAGTCATATTTTTGCCTAGAACGAACCCTCAATTCTAATTAACTAACTAAATCACAAATACTAAAAATTAGCGACTGATTCATAATCCTGGACTACCTTTTATCTTGCTAAGTTCACAATTGTTTTCCCGTTAGTTGTTCAATCATTTTATTTTCATTCATTTAAATTCCTTGCATCCATTTTAATTCAAGCTTTACTTTTCAGTTTCAAATCAAACAAATTCAAAATTGATTTCTTTTAGTTAGATTAATTTCACTTTTATTTTTATTAATTAATAGCTTTCCAATTACTTAGTTGCATTTTCCCCGTGGATTCGACCCTTACTTGAGCACTATACTACTGCGACTCGTGCACTTGCGAGGACTTATAAATTGTCTATCAATTTTTGGCGCCGTTGCCGAGGAATTTTTGGAAAATTGTTAATTTTGTTTTTTTTTGGTAGTTGTGTTTGCTTTTCTTTTTTTCGTTTTTTGTTGTTGTATGCTTGGTCGCAGGTCACTTATTCCAGATTTAATAGCATTGAACGACCAAGTAGATTTGATCGGTAAAAGGACAAAAAGGAGGCTTCGATTTACACTTAATCCAACAATGGGCGACGCTCAACTGATGAAAGAGTTTGGGAGACCGACTGTGGGTGTCTCTCCGTCTTGCATTGTATTGAGTGAGGCTGCCAGGAACTATGATCTAAAGACGGTTCACTTTAACCAATTGCCATCTTTTCATGGGCTTTCATCTGAGGATGCCCTGATTTTTATTCGAGACTTCTATGGCATTGTTCAGAATTTCCCCTTACAAGGAGTGACTGAAGATGAGCTGAAGATGAGGTGTTTTCCCTACACTCTAAAAGAAGCTGCGAAGGCATGGTTTATGTCTTTGACACCTGGTTCCCTGCGCACTTGGAATGATGTGTACAATAAGTTCATTGTCAAGTATTATTCTCAGTCGAAAACTTCAGAATTAAGAAGAAAGATTGCCACTTTTACTCAAGCTGAAGGTGAGCCATTTCATGAGGCGTGGGAGAGATTCAAGATGCTACTCAATCAATGCCCTCACCACGGTTATTCATTGGCGCTCCAGAATCAGACCTTTTATGACGGTTTAAACCAAGGATGCCAAGCTATTGTTGATAACGCAGCTGGAGGAGCAATGGGAGAGAAGACCGCAGAACAGTCTTTAGAGCTTTTTGATATGCTCGGAGCCAATTCACAACAGAAGAGTGTGCAAGGCAGAACTCCAGGAATTTATGAAGTGGGAGTTGGGACAGAACTAGCCATCGAGATGTCCGAGTTGTCCAAACAGATGAAGAACATGTGCACTGTGATGACAACAATGAGCATGTCTACTTCTGTTGTGCATGCAGTACCTGAAGCTGGTTTTGAGCAAGCTCATATGATGAACTCCTACAATCACGGGCCAAGAAATGATCCATTCTCCAACTCTTACAATCCCAGTTGGAGGAACCATCCTAATTTCTCTTGGAGTAACACACAACAAAGCAACCAGCCACCACCTGTCCAAAAGAAGCCTGCTTTGGAGGATACTTTGCAAACTTTCATGCAAATCTGCACCCAAAATCAGCAAGCAAATGAGCAGCGTTTTCAGCACACCGAGGCCTCTTTGAGGAAGCTAGAGATACAAGTTGAGCAGATTGCTGAATCTCTCCAAGGCCATGTGCAAGGGAAGCTACCGAGCCACACTGAAGAAGCAAAGGCTATTACAGTTCTTAGGAGTGGCAAGATAATTGAGAAAGATGAAAGGCAGCCCATTCTTAAGCCACCGGAAGAGGTAAAAGCTGAAAAGAAGGAAGAAGTTGAGTCTGAATCAGTGGATGAGGAGATCGAGTTGCACAAAGCTGAAGATCCATATGTGCCGCCTAAACCATATGTTCCACCCGTTCCTTTCCCAAACAGGTTAAAAAGTTCTAAGCTTAACAATTCTTTTGATGAGATTTATAAGTTGCTGTCTAAGGTTAATGTGAATTTGCCTCTTCTTGACATGATAAAAAACATGCCTGCCTACGCTAAGTTTTTGAAGGATTTGAGCACTAGAAAGCGTAGGTATGAACCAAATGAAAAAGTGTTTGTTTCTAAGGCTGTTAGTGATGTTTTGCAAAAAGATTTGCCCCCAAAATTAGAAGACCCTGGCAGTTTTATTATCAACATTAATTTGGGGAATTCTAAATCCGAAAAAGCTATGCTTGATTTGGGGGCAAGTATTAATTTGATGCCTTATTCCGTTTATTTGAAATTAGGGCTGAATGAGCTAAAATCCACTACTATGTCCCTACAGCTCGCTGACCGGTCTATTAGATATCCTAGGGGCATTGTCGAGGATGTTTTAGTTCAAGTGGATAAGTTGATCATTCCCGCTGATTTTGTGGTTTTAGATATGGATGATCGGTGCAAGTATGTGAAAGACATGCCAATTTTACTTGGCAGACCTTTTATGGCCACGACAAAAACCATGATTGATGTTCAAAATGGAAAATTGACTATGAGTGTGCTTGATGAAACTGTTGAGTTTTCCATTTTGAAATCCATGAGTATGCCTGCTGATTCTAATTCATGTTTTGCACTTGATATTCTTAATCCGAGTGTCTCTCTAGACAAGTCACAGGAAGATGGTCTTGAGAATCATGCTTTTGAGAAAGCGAAAGTTTGCAAGAAGTGCATTAATTGTTTGCATCAAAAGTCCATTTTAAGAAAGGATTTTAAACCTGGAATAAAGGTGTTGTTGCTTGACTCTCGTTTAAGATTTTTTCCAGGAAAAATAAAGACCAAGTGGACTGGTCCCTTTGTGATTCACAAAATATTTCCCGACAGTGCAATTGAGCTTATAAATAAAAAATCCGGGAATATTCTGAAAGTGAGTGGTGAGAGAGTGAAGAGATATTCATGTACTGAAGATTCGGTAGAGCGAGTTAAAAGCCTTGATCTTTGGGAACATTGTTGCTCTTGTTGTGTTTAATCACATATTTAAAAAAAAAATCAAAAAAAAAAAAACAAATTCAAACAAAAAAAAAACGATTTTCTTAATTCTGTTTTCCCCCTCCCCAATTAATTTGTTTCTTTTCTTTCTTTGTTAGTTTTAGTTTTGCAGGTCAATTTTCAAGAGGTTTCAGTTTTCGTTTCAAGTGCTTTCAGGGAGTTCTTCTTCACCTTTCTCTTTTTATTAATCTTTCATTGAGGACAATGTTTGAAATAAGTGTGGGGGAGGAGTAGCTCTCATTCGTTTAATTTTAATATAGTTGTGAAAATTGCAAAAAAAAAAAAAAATCAGAAAAATGCCAAAAAAAAAACAGTTTTCTTGCTTGGATTTGAGGGAAGTTTAATTTCAGGATTACCTTTTCGGCATCAAGTTGTGAATAGTTCTCCTTTCATTGGTATGTGGTATGATTGGTGGTCTCCATGATAGATTTTCTCTTGAATTTGATTGAGTTCTTCACATTGTTTTTACTTGGAGTCAATTTCTTAACCTCTTGTGCCATTAATTTTGATGTATTTTTCAATTCTTTATGACCTTTTAGGATGCATCTCTAACGTTCTTGGAAAGAGTGTGAGTCCTTTGTCATTTAGTTAACATGATAGAACTTGTCTTGTTGCTCTTTTGGAAGCTAAGTTATTGTGCAAACTTATTGAGAAGTGATCTAGGCCATTTTTCATAACCCGAGACTTTTAGCCTACCCATTGCATTTTATTTCCGTTTGCTACCCCTTTGAGCCTACTTGGTCTTAAAGCATTCTACCGTGCTTTTGACTAATAATTTCTTTGTCATTACCCATCAATGTTGACCCGAGCCCAAATAGCCAAAATGTATCCCACACCCTTGAGTTGACATTTTTTACTTAAATTGTGACTTGGAAGAGTTTTCATCTTATTGGAGCATTTTTTTCCCCGGCAGTTTGTATATGTAATTTTGTTATGGCAGTTTGTCATTTCCTTTTAGAAGTAGTGTTGATGTAGCATTCAAAAAAAAAACAAAAAAAAGCTGAAAAAAAGAGAAAAAAAAAAGAGAGAAAAAAAAGTGATAAAAAAAAAAGAAAAAAAAAAGATGAGTTGAGTTGAAGTTTGTATTCTTTTCACTTTCTGTATGCACTCCATTGTCATAGAAGCCGGTTGATTGTTGTAATAGTTTTTGTGCTCCTTTACCATTTTTTTTGAACTCTTCCCAGGATCGGTTTAGTACAGAAAATGTCTTCTCTTTTGTTTTGATTTCACATTTCCTTTCTTTCATTAACCATTACCCATGGCCACGTTACAACCCCAATAAAAGTCCTAAGTGATCTTGATCAAGTTTGTGATTGATAAGGTGGAAGGAAGAGCATAAGATGACTATAGAGTGTTGACTGAATGACTTGGGACTTTGCATAATTTCTCTGAAAGTTACTTGAGCATTTCACTAGGTCATTTAGAATTGTAAAAGACATCTCTATTAATGACATGTGAGTCTAGGTGATTGGCTTTTGAGTTTGACATTGTGTTGGATACTTGATTCGAATTTTTTGGGGATATCTTGTCATGGAGGGGTTTGTTGGAATGCTTGGTGAGTGGAAGAGAATCTTGATCACTGGTTGCCGAATTAGTTTCTTGATATTAATTTTCCTTGAGGACAAGTAAAATGCAAGTGTGGGGGAGTTTGATAAGCTAGAATTTGTGCTTTATTTTTATATTAATTTATTATAATTCTATGCTTATTATTTGCCTAATTGATAGGCTTTAATTATATTTTGTGTGAAATATGATGTTTACAGGCGAGAACTTTAATTGAAGAATTTGAGGACTTTTAGACCGATTGTGAGCTTTTTCTCTTCTAAGGGGCTGTTAAAAAAAAAAATTAAAAGAAAGTGAGCCAATAATTTTAAAGAAATGGGCTCCTGGCCAAAAACAAGCAAAAGAGGATTACTCCTCTAATTGACGGCACCCACATTTTGAAGAAAAAAGAGCCCAACCGCGCACAAGAAAGAAAAGAAGGCAGCAGGGTTTTAACGGAGCGGATTCTGGCGGCCAGGAGGGAGAGCTGAAGCCGGACAGTCGGGGCTGCTGAGTCGCTCATAGCAGCCTGAAGGAGGAAGGTTGGAGGTTTAGTGTTGCTGTTCAGCATATGATCTCCACCAAACTGGTTGGGACCGAAAGAAGTTTGCTGAATTCCTGATTTCTCTAAGGCAGCACCGATTCTGGTTTCAAGTTTCTATTTAAATTCTCCGTATACACTAGTTTAAGTTCTGAATTTGCTTCTTACAACTTTAAATGCTTACAGCTATTCGGTATTTTTTTTTAGATGATTGGAATAAATTGCTATACTCTTATTGTCTTAGTTTATTTTTCTATGAGTAGCTAAATTTCTTAGTCCAGGAGTATGATAAAGTTGCTATGATTTAGTATAAAATTGTGATTTTAGTTATGTCAATTGGTTGAGTTTTATCCATTGTTCTTATTCGCTTAATTTGTTGTGTTAATTTCTGGCCAATTTTAATATGACTAATCAAGTTGTTTGAGTGGATTAATAGAGTACATGCCATGCCTATTAATTCGAGCTCTTTTGGATAAAAGAATAGATAATTTGGCTGTCTTGTTAGGTTATCTATTTGGTTCTTAAATCGGGTTTCCGTAGTTCTTTTGTGATTAATGGATTTTAACTATTGAATTAATTATTTCCTATTGATTAATAGTTAAAGTACGTGACTTATTCTGAACGCCATACGGAATAGTCATATTTTTGCCTAGAACGAACCCTCAATTCTAATTAACTAACTAAATCACAAATACTAAAAATTAGCGACTGATTCATAATCCTGGACTACCTTTTATCTTGCTAAGTTCACAATTGTTTTCCCGTTAGTTGTTCAATCATTTTATTTTCATTCATTTAAATTCCTTGCATCCATTTTAATTCAAGCTTTACTTTTCAGTTTCAAATCAAACAAATTCAAAATTGATTTTCTTTAGTTAGATTAATTTCACTTTTATTTTTATTAATTAATAGCTTTCCAATTACTTAGTTGCATTTTCCCCGTGGATTCGACCCTTACTTGAGCACTATACTACTGCGACTCGTGCACTTGCGAGGACTTATAAATTGTCTATCATGGAACCTTCCGGAAGCTTATGGAAGAGTATGGAAGGATATGGAAAAGAGTGGAAGAGTATAGAGACTCCTAGAGTGTGTGGAGCATTCTAGAGAATCAATCTCCACCCTTGCATAGAAATCATCCCCACCATTCATTGTGAAGGTGGAGTAGTATAAATAGGGGTAGGAGCTTCATTCCTAACCATCATAGCAAGAGAGAATCCACTTCTTAGAGTGAGAAAGCTAGACAGTTAGAGAGCCTCTTTGAGAGAGAAGAGAGATAGCTTGGGAAGTTCATATCCTCAAACTTGAGTGAGCCACCATTGAGTGAGACAATTTTGTAACATCCTTGTAAATCCTACTATTCTTTTGTATAGTGGAAGAATCTTCATATTGGAGAATTTACATCGTGCGCTCTCATTGCTACCTTATTTCAATTCCTAAGTGCCTATCTTAACTTCAGGAAGCGGGAAAGTCCGGAGTTTTTCCCAACAGAGTATACATATTGTGGTAGACATGATAATTCTCAATATATTCTGGAGTTTACATACGTGTATGCAAATAAGTCACGACTAATACCCAAGTATTTTATTGACTCTCGAGAATGATATTACAGACTACAAAGTTATCCACTAAATATTTACTGTGTAGACATATTGTGTTAAATCACGTTATATTCCACTAAAAAACTTGTACAATCCAATGATATAATTAACTTGTTTAACCGTATTACACTTCTACAAGTCTATATATAAGATCCATCGTGCAACGGAGATACACTATAATTCTTAATATGGTTTATGGTACTCAATATTATACAATGCAAAATCATTACGAATGTTATAATGGCGTATAACATTATACCTGAATTAATAGCTAATATCAATTACAGCCAATTACAGATTTGAGGTGTGAATACGATCCCATGTTCGTACCCCAACGATGAACGCAAATTATAAACTGTTAATAAGTGTCCATTGTCATACGATTAATCAAGGTTCATCTTGTATACGACTTATCATACGTGTCATAATGATTTACCATAAATATTTGATCGTTTTGAACCCATTGCAACTCGAAATTGAGATCATACATCGTAGTCATATGCGATTCTACAAGACGATGGGAAATATACCTAAACGAGATGGACTCAAGCCCAAATTATGTATAGTTGTACACTACAACAAAACTTATTTGTAGAGGCAACACAAAATTGCCGCTAAAAACACCAAAGTTGCATCAAAAGATGTTTTGAGGCAAATTATTGGTTGCCCCTAAGGTGCCTCTAAATAATCCGTCCCTAAATGATGGTTGCCTCTTAAACTTCCTTTAGAGGCAACCAAAGATGTGATCCTAAAAACTACTCATTTAGATGCAACCATATTATTAGCTTGTCTCAAAATATTATTGGAGTCAACCATGCTATTTTGCATCAAAATATAATTAGAGGCAACCATATTATTGTGACGCAAGACATTAGTAGAAGCACTATTACTACAAATAATATTTAGACACACTTCATTTCTTCACTGTGAACGTCCATTAAAGGAAATCATATCATTGCTAAAAGATATGGAATTAGTGGTAACTGGTAACCACTTCATTGCTTGCATTCATGAATTAGAAGACATTATCATTAAATCTGATATGGAATAAAAAATACAGAAAATAGAACATTAAATTTCAATCAACACAACACTGAGTTACTACATAACTTAAATTGAAAATAAAGTTAATCGTACATGTATTCATCATATTAATGACATAAGTTGCTTCCTGACGTGCACTTTGTCATGGGGTGCACTCCAAATAAATAATACAATACAACACTTATACGTTGTATAGCGTAGTAAGGTTCGTATCCACAGGGAAAGGAACACTTCTCTTTTTATAGAAATAAATAAGAAATAACAGGGGGGGTTTTATATTTGGTTGATGAACTTAAATTATATTTAAGCACGAAGATGAACGAGTTATGTGGTTTACTTTAATAGAGATGGAGACTTGGTTTTGCTTTTATCCACTTAATGAAATGTTCGTCGATCCCAGTTATATCTTTAACTATCTTCCTCTCGAATACTCAATCGAGGAGTATATCCAGTTCATCGAGGGTAGTTATTAATAACGAGATGCGTTCATTAATAAAACTTACTATCGAGTCAATATAGAACAAGCGCCGTATATTAACTTGATAGTAGCAATAAACTTAAGATGAAAACGATTGAGATTGATAACCTCAACACAAGCGGTTTATTGGTTAATCAATGTAATTAATTCCCCTTAAATTATTAACCATGAGATGCATGCATTAATAATCCAAGTTTACTACCATGAAAGGACCAAATTAATAACAAGCGTATTAATCGACCGATTCTAGTATTAATTAATATATGAAACAAAACTAGTTGATCCTTTAAGTAATGTTCAAAATATTAATATGAAATATGAATAGGAATTAATTAATACTCAGGAAAGCATATTAAAGAAGATGAATCCTACTATAGTTAATATCAAGATGTTAACTAATTGTCATCTTAGAAACACTCCCCGATATTAACGTAGAGGAAGAAATAACTATTACTATAACTAATGTCAAGATGTTAACTAATTGTCATCTTAGTAACACTCCCCAACATTGATATAGAAATAGTATTTAAAGGAAGAATTAATATTCAAGGAAGAAGATTAAAGATAATAACTCACAACTTACAAATTCATTAAGCTTCAAAGGAGCAAAACCAAGATGGAAGAGTTTAGCTCCTCATTTGGAGACTAAACATGCTAAAAAAATATAAAAGAAATACTATTCTAAACTAAGCTTAAGAATATGGAAGAAGGGATGATTATTTGTGAAGGAAAATGGGGCTATTTATAGGTGTTTTTCAACACCTTTGGCCGGGTACCCGACCGGGTAAAGTGCCCACCCGACCGGGTGCATGTCAAAATCAAATATCCTACATGTTCTGGCGATCTTCGACACGTTCTGGTGTTCCGGGTCAAGTCGGACCCGACCGGGTGAAATACCTCACCCGACCGGGTGATGTAATTTCCTGAGTACCTGCATCTGTTAAATCAGACCCGACCGGGTGAAGTGTCTGACCCGGCCGGGTCTGTGCACCTGGATATTTTTCTTCTTCTTTTCCTTGCCAATAACTCTACTACTACTTTACAACTTACTAAAAATGATTAAAATCAATTACAAACAA